TTGTTAGAGCTCAGTGGTCTTGTGGTCTAAACCCATGCTAAATTCATTCTGCAATCTTCCCACTGTATTTAATTTTTTTTTTTTTTGAATTTTTTTTTTGGAAAATACTTGCCATAAGTAAACACAAAACGGTAAACAACTACAAATCTCAAGTGCAAAATTAACCAACAGAAGTAACACAATACTGTTTAATAGCTGCCACTTTGTCTGCACAGCAAGGGTGCCATTAACATATTTAACTCTGGTTTATTTAAGGAGTCCCCAAACTGAAATTCATAAAAAAAACTCCCACAGACTGCTAGGATTAACGGACCTCATTTTTTCAGCGCTTTTAAAGCATTTCAGTACGCTCTACGATTCCAAGCTGCTATTGATTCAGTGACCAGAAGGTGTATAAAAGAAAATGATTTTTAAGTGTGGAAAAACAGATGGAAAGAAAACAGAAGCTAAGAACAAAGGAGAAAAGTAGCTGCAGGAAGGGACGACAGGTAATTCGATTTTAGCCAGACTGGAAAAAGCTCGTAAAACGAAAGCCCGGGAGTGCGCGCTAGCCCGCATGTCGGCGCGGCGAGACTCGCAGAGACGCGACGCGCTTCACCCCGAGAGACCGTATATCTTTGAGCCTACAGTTTTATCATCTTTCCTGACGCTCTCCTACACGCTGTCAAGCCAAATTCCCAGCTCCACGCTAACTTTTCTTAAAGAAATATTGCTCTGGGCAAATTCACGGGGGATGGAGGGGAAGAAGACAAGGAAGGAAATTATTCGAAAGCAAGTGCAATTTGACAAGTGCAACGAACAGCAACTACAACAACAGCGACAACAATAATAGCAATAACAACAACAACAATAAGATTAAGAATAATAAGAGTAATTAGAATAATTTGTACAGGATATTAATATTAAATATTTTATATATAATATTTTTTATCCTGCCCAGGATAATGGGAGTAAATCAGTCACAAACAGTCATCAGTACCTCCTTATCATGCCCCATTTGAGCAGCACTAACGTATTTCTACATGTGATCATCCACAGGTAATATTCCATTCTCTCTGTATCACTGGGACTCAGCATTAAGTTCCTAAATTAAGTGAAACATACACATTTGCAAAGGACCATCCTCAGGTATCTCTGTCAGCTTCACTCATTTCAATGCTCTCGCTCCATCTCCATCCATCTGTCACTCCATCCCTCCCTTAATGTGGCAGTTTCAAGTTTATTTTTCAATTTTTTTCATCAAGGTGTTTGAGTGGCATGCCACAAGAAAGCGTTACCATGGCAAAAATGACAAGGAACAACAACAGTGAGCAAATTATAATGCAAATGAAGTCTGATCAGTTTGGGAGCTCGTAAGTTCTTCCACTCACACACAGACTGATGCGCCCTACAAAAAGCCGCCTCTCTCGCTATCTTTCCCCTCACACTGTGCCCCGTTTGCTGCAATTTTACTGCAAGCAGTGCTCAGCCTGCACCGATGGAAGCATCATGCTCGCATTCCACTGTGCCTGCATGCATGCACTATGTAATCAAACTTATTTTTACCAAAGTCTTTGGAGGCTCGGGTCAGGTGGACCACAGGACACAGACAGCCACCAGCAGTGGGAGGGTGGATCTGTACTGAGGGCAGCTCTGTTCACTTGTGCATGTGATGCACAACCGGCAGAAACAGCTATAGCTCAAGTAATTTTATGCAAAAATGTCACGCGCAGCCAACAAAATATCAATGAATAATCAATATCGTTACTCTTGATATCACCTTGACATCCCTAGGATGCACGTTTATACAATCATGCAATGGTATTGAGAAACGAGGAGAGCGTACCTGGAGAAGCTGTCTCTCACCCTTAGTCTCTGTCCTTCTGTCAGTCCAGTTCCGAGTCTGTCTGCTTTGAAAAGCTCTGATTGACTGGCTGAAAAGGAGGGGGGATAGGGACAGAAAGAGAGAGAGAGAGAGAGAGAGAGAGAGAGAGAGAGGGAGAGAGGGGAGGGGAGCTGTAAAATTTTCTCATACTTCAAGAATTTTTCCTCCCTCTCTTCTCTCTCTCTCTTTCTCCTCTCTCTCCCTCTCTCTCTCCCTCCCTCCCTCACTCTCTCTCTCTCCTTCTTTCTCTCTGATGTAATTCTCTGTGTTTTACTAGTCCCTGATGGGCGGTGGGTTTCTATGGAAAACATCTGAATTTTGAGATGTTTTTGAACAACTGAGCCTAATCGTTAATATCTTTTGAACTCCTCTCAACACTATGTTCCCTGACAATTTATGACGTTGGTGAGACGTTTTTTGTGTTATCATGTCTGTCTTTGTTCTTCAGAAACATATGAAAAGCATCTCTCGTTTATACATTGTCTGTGCAACCCACTGCAGTTAGCATGTTTGGACATGAGGGCCATACAGCACAAAACATTTTTTCATTGTTCTTCTGACTGTGCTGAGTGTCCACATTCTATTCCCTCTGATGCATTGGTCATACCTAAAATAAATGTAGCACAAAAAATCATTTACATTTTATGTGTCATATTTATATGTTAGTTCCAAATGAGTGCTTGATTAAATAGCTTTGTCTGATTGAATGAATTCTCACCTGCTTCCAACAGCTCTTGAGAAATAGACCATGCTTTATGTCATTGAAAGGAAATAAGGTATCTTTAAAGGTAAGTTTATGCTAATAAAATTAAAGGTGTTTCTAAAGCTTGTTTTTGTTCATATATTTTTGTTAATATCTGACCAAATCTGAACAAATCATGCATACAAATGATTACTGAACTTACGATTTGGACTGGGGATTCAGGAATTAATTAACTGAATAACAAATTAGTCAAATGCTCAAGATAAGAATGTTAAAGAAATTGCTTTACCTCCTATCTTAATATTAGCACAGACACACTTCGGGCAGCACATCTCCGTCTTCAAGGACTTAAGGCAGTTAACTCTCAGCACGTGTCAGACGGAGAGCAGACTTCACCAGGATTCAATTAACAGCTCGTTAAACCTAATCAACGGAGACCTCTGCTGGCACATGGTCTAGCATGTACGGAGGCACACAAGCACCAGGACTGGGAGATGCTGGTCTAAACAACATGCCGATCAATTTGCAAAGCAGTACCTGGAATAAAATATGTGCAAAAGCTCAGTTCCAGCATGCCATGAGGAGATTTGAGTAGAAGGCAATCTTTTGTCTTTTCCATGAAGTCACTTTTCACCCGCCTAGGCCTACATTCTGTCTAACAGCAGCAGGCTTAGTCCTTGACCTTGATTCAATTAAATTAAGAAAGTGTAGACAATACTTCATCTACCACTCCTGAAACTGTGACAATGGAAATACAGTTCTGATGCTCATATTAACTATTTAAAATGAAGGATGAAGCGCACTGGGGTTAAATTGAATCTGGTCCTTTTCCCTTTTCCATCCTCTTATGTACAGTACCAGTCAAAAGTTTGGACACACTTACACATAGAAGAGTTTTTTTTTTTTTTTTACTATTTTACACTTTTTAGAATAATAGTACAGACATCAAAAGTATGAAATAACACAAATGGAATTATGCAGTGACCAAACAGTGACAAACAAATCAAAACTACCTCATATTTTAGATTCCTCAAAATAGCAAAAATATTTTTTGAAAATAAAAAAAAACTTTGAAAAGAAATTCATACACGGACATCAACTTCACTAGTAATATTTGTCTCAGAAACAAATTTTTGTTTTTGTCCAAACTTTTGACTGGTACCTTACATCCAATAGTGATCAGTCTAAACTGAAACATCAACCCCTCCCTCTAGAAAAAGGGACCATGATCTTCTCCACAGTCCCATTCTGTGCATACCTGATATATATATATATATATATATATATATATATATAGAGAGAGAGAGAGAGAGAGAATATATCATAGACAATACATTTCTCAATCAAAATATTGAGAATATGTACATTTTTGCAGTTTGGCATTTTGCAGTATATTTTTGCTCTGCATTAATATATTTTGAAATGTATTTGCAATATATTCTTGGGCCGAACAACGTATTTGTCAATATACTTTGATATACTTCATTTTCACTTGGGCCCCCCACCAGCAAGGTTTTCCAGTCCTCAGTACCGTAATACACTCAGCACAAAGGAGCAGAAATCCCCAGTGCCCTCAGCAGGAGTTTGCAGGGTCCTTCCAGCCATCCATCACCGCCTAATGATACAGCAGCCGAAGGTCAACGCGCATATTCTGCAATGGAAGCAGAAGTTAGCCTTTGGGTGGGTAATGTATGTGGCAGCGGTTTTAGTGATCTAACCGTCAGCTGTAGGTACAGTGTGGGTGGACTCTGCGCTCGTGAAACGGTTTTGAAACGGAGTTCGTTCTGGTGTGGGTATCGGGTTACATCAGGGGTGTAATGACAAACATACAGCAAGATGCGTTTCGCAGGCCTTTTCCATAGTTGTCATTCATTGTTACACTCTGTGACCTTAGATCTTTTTTTTTTACCCCAGAATTAAACATACAGTATGTAAGCTTTTCAGATGATTGAATTATTTCACTTCCTCTTTTTCATACAATTTGTTTTATGCTTATTTCCAAATGTTACACTTTCTATCCCTTAAAAGCCATCACAACCTATTTTCTTTGAAGTTCAATTTGCAAAAAAATAGAATACAAACATCACATTGAAATACAAGCATTCTAAAATGTAACCAAAGAATATAAATACCCTGGAAAAAATATCACAGACATACAGTACATTTTACAGCTGTAATCTACAAACATTCACGTACCACAAAGATGCGCGTACCACAGAGATATACACATATCACACAATGTTTATTCTGTTAGCCTGTGTCTTTTTGGAAGAAAACAGTGAAAATCTAAAATAATCTGATGCATACATAAAGCACTATTACATTATTGTCAATTAGCAGACACTCTCATCTAGAGCAACTTAGAGCTTTATCCATCTGGATATTAACTGAGGTAAGAGTAGTTTAAGTACCTCACCTAAAGACACAGTAGCAGAGCCTTAGTGGGGAATTGAACCAGCAACCTTTTGGTTATGAGCCCTGTGCCTTACCACTATGCCACAAGACCATATTGTTTCTGTAATCATGTATCTACATACAATGAGCGAAGTCAGGAAAGAAACAGAGCAGCTACTACATTCCACACTAAAAATGCTACTGTTCCTGAAAATACAATGTTCAGAGTGTAATAAAGACATACAGACATAATGTTCTGTGCTCTGACAACCTGTGTCTGACAGATGACTGTCTGGACAGGTTGAGGCAGTAAATTCTAACAGTAATCCCTAGTTTTTATTTGCTTCTAGTTAACTTTTGTGGGCCATTGCTAACACGGCTCACGGCTGGCATCTCTGTGGGTTCAGTGAAAATGAGGTGAGCCCATACTGCAGAGACTGTTCTGAGGCAGGTGTCACTCAGGTGGGAATACCTGATTACATCAGCAGCAGGTTGTCATGATGCAACATTTCTACAACAAGAGATGTTTTAAAACCCTTTTATTTTTTTGTGCAAAATTGTATTTTTTTTACATCACAGTGTACGCATCGGAATATCATGCTTGTTACATGCCGTGATCAATGTCTCACCAAACATGACTCACTTCACAGAATCGGGTGGTAAATCCGTCATTTTAATGTTAGCTCTTCTGTATCGCTAACTTGGTTCATGGCTGGCATGGATTTAACGGTCTGAAGATGTGGTGTGCACATGAGACATTCACCATCTTCAGACAGCTTTTCCAGCTTTCAGCTTTTCCCTCTCCTCCTGGATGACCGTTAACCTTAGAAACCAGAGCCACCAAAACTGATTTAATCATTTCATTTCATATTTCCCTATAATAAATCTCAGAATTATGCTTTTTCACCATTGTGACTATGTGACGATTCTTACTCTGGGATGAAAAAAATAAAATATTTTCTTGCATCATTCTCTTGATCCATTCTATGGTATTTTATGGATATATTTAACATGGAGTGGACAGTTCCACAGAGGTGCTGGAAGCCACTCTGGATAGGAGCACTTGCTAAACAAAGGTAATGTAAAGTAAAGGAATGTAATGTAATGTAATGTAATGTATTGTCTGCAGAAAGAGGGGCTGCACCAGGTGATTGCAAATGAATGCTGTGTCAGACTCCTGTACCCTGATCAGACTGATAGCCTGAGTGATATTTCATCTGACGCACAGGCAGGTGCTAACACAGAGATCTACAAAGGCTGACTGATCGATACAGTCTGGCTGCCAAAACTGACCCTGGTGAAGTTGCTAACACATGCACTGATACCTTCCAGCCCAGACACCTGACTGAGTCACTGACTGAATGACACACTGAAAGTCACTGATATCATTAAACTGTTATACTGACAGATGCTGATGTCACAAAATTGCTTCACTGATAGACAGTGATGTCACTAAACTAATATACTGGCAGCCACTAATATCATTCAATGGACGCACTGACAGATGCTTTGAGTAACCTGATGGGCTGGAAGATGGATTAACTGTTTGACTGGCATGCCAACAATTCATTAACCAGCACATTGGGAGACTCTACAACAATAATAATTTCATGCAAAATTCATTGTAAAAACAAAGACATAAATTAAAACCACTTGGGCCACCGCAAATACATGGAAACCAGCCCATAATTTCACACTTAAACTGTCTCTATTACCTTTGGTTCTGTACAGAATGGCTATTTACAATGTTTTTCATCCCTTTCTGTATGAGTGATGGACTCTGTCAGCGATGGCTAACACATGCGGTAGAGTCATCAGGTAGAAGCTCGAACATTAGTTTAACATGAAATGAGCATAACAGATTCTTTTTTTTTTTCTGCGCCCTGTGACAAAGTAAAAACATGCGAGATTGGATTTTGCTGTTAATGGCATCTGAGAGGGCCCTGCATGTTTTGACAATACAGGAAATGGAGTGTTGGCGCAGCTGGCAGAAAAAACTCCGAACTGGCCGCTGAAGCGCCCCCCGGAACACCCCAGACACCACCGCCATGGTGATGTATTAATTGAAAAATTCTATCCTAGTATACAGTACCAGTCAAAAGTTTGGACACACCTACACAGAGAAGAGTTTTTCTTCATTTTTACTATTTTACACTTTAGAATAATAGTACAGACATCAAAAGTATGAAATAACACAAATGGAATTATGCAGTGACTAAAAAAGTGTTAAACAAATCAAAACTATCTTATATTTTAGATTCTTCAAAGTAGCCAAAAATATATATATATATTTTTTTAAATAAAAAGTTTTTTTGGAAATAAATTCATGCATAGACATCAACTTCACTATCTATTTTTGTCTAAGAAACAAATTTCAAGCATTTAAACATAAGTCTTTAGATCAAAATATCTTTGAATGCATGTTTCCTATTATCAGGTGTCTCCAAACTTTTGACTGGACCATTACCTCAGGCTGTCCCTTGAACTGCCTGTCACCTGTTTGTGACCTTTGCACATTTACAGTTGCAAGCAGAGCATGAATTTATTTTAGGATTAAAAAAAACATGTTTTTAACTTAAACCGGAGATGTCCGTTAGCCTTTGATTTAACATACTGCATCAATCATCAAGACTACTGGACTGCACAAGAAAGGTTGACCAGGCATGTCAGATCCAATGTAAGACTCCATATGTAAAAACATATAAAAACCTGTCCCAGAGTACCTCATGTGTAAATGCATTTTAAACTCATACTGAATACACACACAGCACAGAATGTTACCAGATCTGTATGTGACCTGGATACACCTCACTCTGCCCTGCTTCTGCAAGAATACAGAAGTTAAACACAGTGAAACCAGGGGGCTGTGGGCAAGCCAGTGACTCCGGTGAAGAATGAAATCCAATGCACTCATGCAGTGATGGGGATACTGTGCTTTTAGAGGTGCCACAGTTTGGATGATGCTATTAGAAACAGTAACAGCATTGCCATTCTAATATTATTCATATCGCTATTAGGAATTGTAGTGGCTTTAATATAAAAACCTGGGGCTGGGCTCAAGCCACTGTGTTATTAGGTGTTAAGACATTTTATTCCAATATGGGAAGATCACATTTGAAAGTAGAGTTTTAAGTGTATCCTGTCTCAAAAATTAACTTTATTTTTAAAAAAAAATTCAAAATGATTTTAATGCCAAGACACTTTGATGCTTTCTCACAGTGATGTTTATTCTGCTGGTTCTTTTAACTGTCATCAGGATATTTGCTCAAAAGTAAGTCTCTTTGCGTTGCTGAATGACCTCATTCTCCCCTTTAAGTCTGCGAACTCGAACCCTGGAATGTGTTTGAAGTGTGCGTTTGCTGGCAGGCTGAAGCCGTGACTATGTGAGAGGCAGGAGATATAAGAGGGCACCATGTCTTCCTCAGATGATTGGTCATTTATGGTTTATGGCACCAGCCCTACCTCACGCCACATGAAAAACTGCCATTAATCTCACACATGTGGAGGCATCGTCCCACCTTTGGAAATAATTTGGAAATAATTTTGCATATATTTTTTCATGGAATGCTGGATACAGCTAAATATACTCACAACACCTTTGGTATGTAATTTTTTAAGGTCTGGGGACTGAGGGAGGGGTAGAGAGAGATGTGGTCAACGATGACCACCTACACAGCATTAACGCACGTGGCAGTAAATAGCTAGTGTAATGGCTCTGTTGAATTGCCACTAAAATAGCTACACAATTCCAGCACTGAAATAGTCAAATTACCTGTATTCAAGTTTTTTTTTTACAGCCCAAATCTGTCAAAAATACAAAGACTGGATATTGCATTTATCTGCTTATGTTGTTCTGTTGTCATTGGCTGCTGGATAAATACTGGGTCCAGCATGGGTGGTCTGGGAAGAACAGCCCCCCTCAGGTTTGCAAGTGCCACCATTTTTTTTTACTGTGCCAGAAGAAGCATTGGGAGAAGCAGCAGAGTCTGTCACTAACTAGTTGATTGTCTGACTGAGCAAATGTCTGGCTGCCATGGTAACCCTATATTACCACCAGAGGGGCTGTAGAAAGCACAATGCTGTCTGCACACTGCTGCAAAAATTCAAACTCTGAGGTACATCAACAAATACACTATTTCTTCAACTTACATGAGAGTTCAAAAAGTTCCCAGGTAAAAAAAAAAAAGTACAATGGCAATTGTTCCAGCTGGAAGCTCTCATCACTGCTCACCACCTTTGGGAAGGGCTTGTTCAGGCGTCTCTTGTCTGTCTGAACACCCCCCGCCAACACCTGATCCAGCTCAAGGGTGTCATGGTGTGTCACAGAGACCATATACTGCGATACAACCCCATTCATTACATTGCATTATTCTAATTTAGCAGACGCTCTTACCCAGAGCAACTTACACACAGGTTACAATTTTTAGATGTTACCTATTTATACAGCTATTTACTGAGGCAATTCTGGGTTAAATACCTTTCCAAAGGGTACAGCAACAGTGCCCCTGTGGGGAATCAAACCTGCAACCTTTCGGTTACAAGCCACACTCCTTATCACTGCACCACACTGCTGCCCATTCACTGACTGTACTGATCTTCTGGTATTGCTTACAAGAAAAGGTGTTTTGATTATTAATTTCCTAATACACACTCTGTATACATGTATATATGTGTAATACACATATTATTACAAATACATGCAGTATATCTCAAATGACAGTCATTTTAATGATGGATATTAACAAAAGACAGTAGCACTTAATGAAAACAATGCAGTAAACTGATGGATAGTGACATATGCCCTGTAATCCACAATAAATAGATCATTTTTTGACGTGCTGTGCATATTTCAGACATGAGCTGCAGTGTATTTACTGGAGAGCCGCTGAAGGTGTAGAGCTGTATTAATGAACTCTGCAGTGGAAACAGATAGTAATTACAGAGCATTAAGGCCATATGTTATTGTACAGGGGAGTCTTTGGGGAAAACTCTGTTTTGTTCATTTTCAGAAAGCAGAGCAAAGACTGGAAGAACATCAAGAAACGACTGAGTGAAGCGGCTATCACTCCTCAGAGAGAGAAAGAGGAAGAGAGACAGAGAGGCATAAATGGG